GCCACCAGAACCCAGCTTACACAATTCTTTCTTTTTTCCTTTTTCTTTTCCACATCACATTAATTTTCAGAATGACATCATTCGAAAACCAAGGCCCAGCCTGTCCAGAGGGCCACGGTTTCTCATGATCCCTCCCCAAATGGGGACATGCACATTTTCTCACCTAGGCTGAGCTCAACTGCGCATCACAGCATGCTACTGAAAACTAAAGTTAAAACCAAACTGAAGAGGAGCCTGTGAAGCCAGGGGCTTTTGTCTGCTCACCGATACATTCTCTAGGCCTACAAGAGTAGCTGGTACTTAGTAGGCCATCACATTTTAACTAGATAAATCCTATAAGGAGGCCTATGACATACTTCCATATGTGTGGCACAGCGGTAGAACAAAAAAACACAGAGAACAAGGCAGACAGGGTTCCTACTGTTAAGAGCCTCCACAGTCTTCTGGGAGGAATAATAAATAATCCTAGTAACTGGCTATTGGCTGTGATATGTAGCCTTACTGTGATCAGCTGGCTGTGGTCAGAGAGTGATGATAAGCTATGAGGGAATATCCATGCAAGTGCTGAGAGGAAATAGAGAAAACCTCCTCAGGTAAGGAACTTAAACTAAGGAGTTAGGACAATGAAAGGGAGGCAGGTGAACATATTTAAAACACATTTTGCACATTTAACCAACTGGATTCAAGGCCAGCCTGGACATGGGCCATGAGAAATAGACTGAATCAAGAATGATTCCTAAGGTATTTTGTCTTCCCAGGTTTTACATTATCTTTTCATTTTGCTTCAAGTTTAAGCAATTAAGTGATTTTATGGTACCTATGCACTGGCATAAGACATAAGGAACAAATTCTGAAAGGAGAAACAAAATTTCCATTTAGAACATGCCACACTTGAGAAATCTGTTAGACACCCAAATGGAGAGAGATATCAATTAGGCAGCATGGTTGCCAAGCAACAAATAGATGCTTAATAATTAATTGAACTGTACAGCAAACTGACAGTTAAAATTATTTATAATTTAATTTAAAAATGAATCAACACTGATTACTTTTAATCCCCCTATCAAAGTATTGGCAATTCTCACAAGAAATACTAAAGGGGGGTATTTTAATTGACCATTGTATAATCAGTGGAATTATTTATTTATTTTATTAAACTACTAAAAATCAGCTGCTTGTTTTAGTACTGTGTAGTAAATGCCTTATGTTAATAGTAGAAAGCTACTAAATTATTTTACTTTATTTTTTGGGGGGTCCGGTCATGGGGCCTGAACTCTGGGCCTGGGCACTGTCCCTCAGCTCTTCAGCTCAAGGCTAGCGCTCTACTACTTGAGCCACAGCGCCACTTCTGGCTTTTTTCTTTTTGCTTATGTGGTGCTGAGGAATTGAACCCAGGGCCTCAGGCATGCAAGGCAAGCACTCAACCACTGAGCCATCTTCCCAGCCCTAAATTATTTTTTATACTATAAAGTTGATCATCTAAGAATTCAAAAAGTCAAAGTCAACAATTTGAATATAACCTTTGTTTCTTAATGAGATGAAGAACTATGTCTAAGAACACTGCCTTAATCAAATCTTCCTCCTATTAAAACAAAGATCAGACCTAGGAGTTGGGTTTGAACTCAGGGCCTTTGGTTATTAGGCTGGGACTTTATCACCTGAGCTACCACACAGGCCTGGCCTTTTGCTGGTTATTTAGTAAGAAACAAAATATTAAGAAACTGCAAGAATTACTTTGTAAATAAATCACTGAAAGTGATTTCCTTAGTTTAGGCTATAACTTAAAGGAACAATTTAGACCAGGATTTTGCAGCCTCAGCACAATGAACATTTGTGGCTGGGTAATTCTGTTGTGGGAATTGTCTTGTGCATATATTATAGGATGTTTAGCTAACATCTCTAGCTTCTATTCCCAAATGCTAGCAGCACACCTCAATCTTTCCCCACAACTGAATAAACAAAAATGTCTACAGACAAGGCCAACATGCTGTGGGAAGCCTACAAGAACCATCTTCTAAAGTATCCCAGCTTCAGATGAAAACCTCTCATCTATCAATGAATGACAGATCCTCTTAAGGATTCAGCATAGCATGCCTTCAAGATGGCCTCAGAGCTAGGAATGTGGCTTAGTGGTAGAGTACTTGCCTAGCATGCATGAAGCCCTGGGTTCAATTCTTCAGCACTACAGAATAGGCTTGGAACTGGTGCTGCGGCTCAAGTGGTAGAGTGCTAGCCTTGAACAAAAGAAGGTCAGAGACAGTGCCCAGGTCCTGAATTCAAGCCCCAGGACTGGCAAAATAAATAAATAAGGTATATTTTTAAAATGGCCTCAGAAACCCATCTGTATCTTTATATCCCAATGTCATCCTTTTCCACAGTTTCAGGGCTGGTTTGTGTGACCCACAGAACAAAACAGAAAGATGGTCTATGATACTCGAGGCACGGTCAATAAAGACACTGTCTTCCTATTTTGGGGGGCACTGGTTCTGGGGTTTGAACTCAGGGCCTGGTCACTGTCCCTTAGCTTCTTTTGTTCAACGCTAGCAGTCAACTATGTGAGCCACAACTCCACTTCTGAATTTTTTTAGTAGTTTACTGGAGATGATAAGAGTCTCACAGTCTTTCCTGCCCAGGCTGGCTACTAAACCACAATCCTCAGATCTCCACCTCCGGAGTAGTTAGGATTATAGGTGTGAGCCCTGGCGCCTTGCTGGTGGCTTCCTTTCTGTCCTGTCTGAGGTCACTTGCTGTGGGAGGAACTAGCAACCACATCACAGGGATGTTCAACTGCCCTGAGGCGAGGCCCATGTGGTGATGAGTCGGGCCACCTGCCAGGAGCTACCTGAGTAAACTCAGAAGACCCTCCAGCCTTAGTCAGGCCTTCATGTCCAATACATAATGATTAATTATATTTATATTTTTCTCAGACAAAAATAGTGAGTGGTAACAATGCTCTGGCAGGTAGAAAAAAATTCTTACCATTCAGTAACTGCTTAGCAGCAATTTATCTTTTCTGGAAAGGCAAAAATGAGACAACTGGACATAAAACCATTTTTTTTAAATTTATAGTGGGTTTTTTTTTAAGGAAAATAAAAAAAGATGAGAACTTGGTTTATGTGGTAAAATAAAGGATTTTCCATGAAGAAGTTCTTGAAAATCTTTGAGAATCACATACCAAAGCTGCAAGCTCACTGTGTCTACCATTCCATAATATAGCCACTAAACATAGGGCTGTTTAGCAGGAATAAGTTTAAGATTAAGCCGTGGCTCCTACTCAGTGAAGATGATCTAGAAGCAAGACAGGAACTCTAGAAAAAGCTCAGTCTCCTCAGGTTTTTGTAAGACCCAAAGCGACAGTATGTCTCCTACTCACGCAGGTGTTCTTTACCTTCCTTCGTACAGACAAGGCTAAAAGAATCACGAAGTCAACTTGGGCCAAGTTTATCTTATAAGGAACAAAGAATAGTCCGAGCAAACTGACTCCATTTCCTAAGTCACTTGGAAAACCTCCTGAAATCCCACCACCTCGGAGAGTGTGACAGATAGAGTGGTGCTATATCTCCCAATTCCCCATCACAAGTCATATGTCACAGTCCTTACAGTTCTTTAAAAAGGAGAGGGTGACACAGACACACAGGCAAGACCATGTGAAGACGTAGAAAGAAACCACCCTGGCTGCCACTCTGATCTGATACTTCCAGCCTCACAATGGTAGGAAATAGATTTCTGTTGCCTGTTTCTTATGGCAGTCTTAAAAACAAATACAAAAGGTTTCCTGATTATATCTTTGTGTCCACTGGACTCCTTGAAATAAGGGAATCTGCTCCTTCCCCCTAGTTATGAAAACCATGCCACCAAAAAATCAGAGTGTGGCTGGAGTGGGGGATCAGAACAGATAGGTAACTGGATTTACATGGTAAAATACTTTCCATTTGTTTTTCACATGCATTTTCAAAAGTATGTCACCATGATACTGTATTTCCAAAAACCTCTACCAAAGAACTGTTCCCAGACTCTTTTTATCCTGACCTTGTCGACTTTTCTTAATACTTGAGAAGATGGAAAAAAACAAAAACAAATAGTAAAAATCAGTTTCTTAAGTAGAAGTTATTAAATATTAATGTCTCATGGATAATAGTATAAAAACCCATAGGCAAAAATGCAATAGCTAATCAAGTAGTGGGAAAAGAAAAATTCTCAGAGGGGCTGGGAATGTGGCTTAGTGGTAGAGTGCTTGCTTAGCATGCATGAAGCCCTGGGTTTGATTCCTCAGTACCATATAAACAGAAGAAAAAAAAAAAAAAAGCCAGAAGTGGTAGAGTGCTAGCCTTGAGCACCAGGTCCTAAGTTCAGTCCACAGGCCCAGCAAAAAAAGAAAAAAAAGAAAAAAAAACACCTCTCAAAGAATTAAAATAGTTGAATAGCTAGGAAAAAGTACTTTGAAGGAGAAATAATAGTAGTGACAAATTACATCTAATCTCTATACCAGTGGAGACTATAAAAGATAACAAGTATTATCAAGGATAAAGAAGTAAGTTCAGGAGCTAGGAAGGTGGCTCAGTGGTAGAGTGCTTGCCTTGCATGCCTGAAGCCCTGGGTTCGATTCCTCAGCACCACATAAGCAAAAAGAAAAAAAGCCGGAAGTGGCACTGTGGCTCAAGTGGTAGAGCGCTAGCCTTGAGCTGAAGAGCTGAGGGACAGCGCCCAGGCCTAGAGTTCAGGCCCCACAACCGGACCCAAAAAAAAAAAAAAAAAGTTCAGAGGTTATGTAGTACTGTTTCTATAAAAAACATATAATTAGTTATTTTTGTACAATAAAGTAAGATTCAGACTACGTTCACATTCCTTTTTTTTAAATGTAGCTATTAGAAAATTATACTACATCTACTTACTAGCTGTTTCTTAAAATCTAAGAAGTAAACCAATTTATTTGCTTAATCTTAGTAGACACATAATGATCAATGTGAGAAATTAAAAGTTGCTGGTGCTTTAACACTTACGAAACGAGATGAATTATCATTTTTCACAGTCTTCGCATTTCCAAATGATTCCAGAATTGGATTTGCTTGCAAAAGCTGCCGTTCAAGTTCCCCCTAGAAGACATCACAAACACACACACATGTACACACGTACACACACATAAATAAAAACAGATGGATGTTAATTTAAGGTCTTTACTCCAGTCTTCAGGGAAAAAAGAAAACACACAAAAGCTGTCCCTCTCCTCCCCAAATGCTTTCGTCTTGTCTGCTGTCCAGTGGCCTTAGGTGGCTTCTTATTCCTGGTTATGACAATGGGCTCTGCTCAAGGCAAAGGGTGTGACAGGAGAAGAAAATGTCACACTGGCCAGAGAACACAGGCTTGGGACTCTTAGGAAGAAAACTGAAAATAAAACATACATACCAACCCGTTTCCATGGAACAAAAGGAGCAGAACATTTCAATTAAAAACCCATTAATATTTACATTTGTGTTTGTATTGTACGTTGTGTATTGTGTGAAAGATTTCTGGTGGCTGATTTAATAACGATTGTTTTTCTGAGGGCTTTCACCTAATATCTCAATGGTGAAGACAAGAATACTGTTCTCAGCTCCACTTTCAAAGGATGGTCTCAGACTTGCTTGCTCAGATTTAAATACTAATAAGCATCAAATATTTGGCATAGTGTATGCTTTGGTCAGTATTTTTATTTATGAGTAAATGAAGCTATAAAACAGATTTTACAAACAAAAGATGTTGGTATTATACATTTTTAATTATCAGATGTAATAGAAAGCTGGGTAAGATAGCATGTAGCCTTTTTTTTTTCTTTTTGGCTGGTCCTAAGGCTTGAATTCATAGCCTAGACACTATCCTTTAGCTTTTTCATTCAAGGCTAGCACTCTACCACTTGAGCCACAGCTCCACTTCCAGATTTTTGGTGGATAAGAGATATAAATCTCGTAGATTTTTCTGTCTCAGGGGCTTCAAATAGTGATCCTTAGATCTTAGCCTCCTGAGTAGCCAGGATTACAGGCCTGAGCCACAGGCACCTGGCCTTAGGCCATGTCTAGAGAGAAAAACTTATAAAGTGGTGTTATATTTCTGGAATGTAATTTCAGAATTATCTTCTACTGACCTAAGTGAATGTGCTTTTTTCCCAAACACAAATCTTACCCCTATACTTTCAAATGTCCACAGTACTCTAGACCCAAAAGGAGAGAAATCATTAGCAAATGAGATTCTAAATTCTAAACATTTTAAATTAATGACCATCTGTCATATTATGTACTGTGCCACTATCAAATCCCCAAAGAGGAACAAAGGCATCTTGTGACATCAACTAGCCCAAGTAAAGACTCCTGGGGAGAGTGGCGCCATACCCCAGGGCCCTCACACCAGAAGTGAACAGGTTACTGATGCTTCCACTCCATTGTCCTGATTCCTACAGGTATTGAGACCAATCAGAAACAAGTCCTGATATGAATTTTATAGCATCATTGGATTTTTCTGGGCATAAGGCAGGTTTTTTTCTCCCTGTACAGTAAATATATCTTCTACTTTATCACTTACAAACACACATCAAACTATTTTAATGTAAATCTCTCTAAAACATTATATATTGCCCACCTGGTTTAAACCCTGTATCCTAAACCAATTTTGATAACTAATAGCAATCATTAAGAATATCTACTGTGGCTCAGTGTCTAGCATGTGGAAAGTCATAGGTTTGATCCCTAGCACTGCAAGAAGAGAGAACAAAGAAGTAAAAGAAGTTCCCTGGAGGTCAGTGTGCCTATGACTGAGATCTTGTAAAGCCCTCATTAGTGGCTTTGTGTCAATTGCTTAAGTCTCTAGAAGCTCCTTTTTCCTCTTCATTTTTACCTGATTCAACTTGTAGGATGAGGATGTAGAAACTATCAGGAAAACTTTGATGCTATGATAAGCAAGGATTAAGATACCTACTGTTTAAATTATGGTATTAGAATACAGATACCTTACAATTACATCCATCCTGCTAAATGATAATTAAAGGACTCTCATCTTAAGGTGTCTTCCTAAATTGGAAGAAAAGAAAAATACTCCTCACTTTAATGTTCCTAGACATGGCTACAAAGATTCCTTAGGTAAAGGTTTCTTTCATTGATTCTCTTCCTTTAGAGTATGTGGGTAACCTGATTCTATTCCTTCTGTGTTGGCTTAAAAAGTAACCCCCACATCTATCTTAGATCAAAATGCTGCCCTCCACATGTCTGAATGATCAGAAGTCCTTAATCATTCTAGTGTCTGAGGTAGCAATGGCATCTAGGCAGAGGGTCCTAAATCACCATGGTAACCACTGACCAGGTACTCATGGGTCCCTGCTGTTGGTTTTACTGCATCAACAGTGTCATGCCATTATTTCCCTCCTGGTGAATCAAAAACTCAAATGAATCACAAAAGGCCCGACACAAAGCATTTTTATATTGACATGCAAAAATGGTCCTACAATTAAGAAATTACTGCAAAATATGATCATTTTAATGTCTGACAATTTCATGATTAGGTGAATGGTGAATCATGAAAGCCTTTATAAACTGTCAAGGAACACTGACTTAATCATGTTTCCAGTAGAATCAGAGATGATTCTATGTTCTTTTTTTTTTGTCATGGGCCTTGAACTCAGGGCATGGTACTGTCCCTGAGCTCTTTTGCTCTACTACTTTGAGCCACAGCACCACTTCATTTTCTGGTTATTAATTGAAGCTTTCCGGTCCGGGCTGACTTTGAACCACGATCCTCAGATCTTAGCCTCCTAAGTAGCTGGGATTACAAGTGTGAGCCATCAGTACCCAGCAATCCTATATTACAGAAAATATTATTTCAGGTTATAGGGAAAAGGCAACATTAGTTAAATTATTTATTAAACAATTATTAAATTATTTTCTAATTCTAAGAAATTAGAGCTTTAAAGGTTTGGCAACTATGGTGAAAATTTCTGTACTCTTACTTTTATCACACAACATATAACATACCTTTGCTGTATAATTCAGGATAAGTTTGAAAGGGTTCAGAAGTAAGTATATACCTCTTTCAAAACTCCAGATGAGTGAGCAAAAAAAGGGGCACTGGGAGTCAAACACTGCACCTTGCAAGACTGGTAGAGCAAAGCACAGGTGTTCTCTCATTTTAACTAGAAGGTCTCATTTCTGTATTTCTTGGCACCTTTTTGTCTTGGATCAAGGCAGTTAAGACCAGGAAGACATGAAATTATCATGCAGATGTCTTGAGAGGGAGGAAGGCAGTTGAGTGGGCATGAAGAAATCCTCTTTAGGTGATGGTCAAGTTTTAGAAATTAGTCATTTCCTGTCCATAACTTTATCACCCTGAACATAAGCTCATTAAGCAGTAGTCAATCAGGTTTGGGCCTGGTTAGTACTTGGGTAGAAAAAAAAAGTAGTTAATTCCAAATCTACCCTGAAACTCATTGTGTTGAGGCTTTTTAGTGACACTGAATACTGTGAAGGTCTCTTATGGAGATCTACAGAAGAAGAAAGAAGAAAGAAGGAGGAGGAGGAGGAGGAGGAGGAGGAGGAGGAGGAGGAGGAGGAGGAGGAACTGAGGGACAGCGCCCAGGCCCAGAGTTCAGGCCCCACGACTGGACCCCCCCACCAAAAAAAAATGTCTCCTGGGATCCTGAGTAAAACTCAATGTCAAAATTCAGTGTTAGGGCTGGGGTCACGGCTCAAGTGTAGAGTGCCTGCCTAGCAGTCAGAGCACTAAATTCAAATTCCACGATGCCTTAAAAAAACTGCATGTGAAATGAACATGTATAGACATCTTTGTCCACTCATCATCATTCCCTAAACAATATTAACAATGATTTGGACAACAACATTTACATTATATTAGGTATCTAAGTAACCTAGAGATGATTTCAAATACTCAAGATGATATACATACACAACTTTGGTATCTGAGACGGTTAGGGATGAAGTCTTGGATTCAATTCTCCTGAGACACCAAAGCACCAAGAATTGATATAGAGTAATTGTTATTTAAAGCAACTGTAGGATGCTCTCCAGAGGTGGCCATATTGCTCAGGTGAACTAAAGAAAACCCAAGACCCAGCATTGCTCTAGTAGTTCTAAAAAGATCACCACAGTAGCTAATTGACTTGACTCCATTAAAGTAAACGTCGCAAAGGCAGCCCTGGGGATTCTGTGCACAGCGAACACATGCAGTGACATGCAGATCAGCAAGGACAGCGCAGCCTGGCCCAAAGCAGAGAGCTCTTGCTTTGGAAGAACTTGCTTCCTGAGGGTGGGTTGGACCCACAGTGAAACCTAGAGGTAGCATGCATTCACAGACAACAGGGATCCATTTAAGATGACATCGAAACCAAATGTGAACCATTATGGCTCTTGTGTTTCCCAGAGGACTTTGAAAACTAAAATTCATATTGTTTATTTAACACTATTTCATCAGTGCTCTAAGTTCACATTAAAAGGCCACAGATCATGTCCCTGTAACACAAAGAGAAACTACTTTCTGATCCACATTGCCCGTATACTGGTAAAGAAATAAAGAAATCCTTCCTCCCTTCTCTTCTTTCCCTCCTATCTGCTTTCCTTTGGTGGTGGTACTGAAGCTTCAACTCTGGGCCTGGGTGCTCTGTGCCTTAACTTTTTCACTCAAGATGGCACTCTACTACACCTTGAGCCACACCTTCACTTCTGGCTTTTTGGTAGTTTAACTAGAGATTAAGAGTCTCATGGACTTTCCCACCCTGATGGCAAATCTCAGATCTCAGCCTCCCGTGCAGCTAGGATTATAGACATGGGTGATCAGTGCCAGGCCCTTATCCTTTTGATTTGTATTACTGGCCTGGACTGTCATTAAAAAAGCAAAAAGCTTTCATAGGATAGCACAGCTTTGGTGTTTACTGATGCCTCAACAATTTTAAGGAAGATCCCTGAAAATCTCAGTATCTGTGACAATTCCTTTAGGTATCTACAATCTTTTCTTCCTATTGACAGATTACTTTCATAAATCAACATTATCATGCCTTGCTTTATTTTAGCTTTATACCATCATGCTTGTGGAAGACAGAAAAAACAAAACTGTTCCAATGTTAAAAAAGGATCAAGTCCAAGGCCAGATGTTCTACTTTTTCCAAGAAGTCTGTCTCAGTTTTCCCTGCCTCCCTCCCTCTCCATGGCTCTGGTTCATGGTTTGTTCAATGTGAGATCTATGGAACCAAAAAGGCAGGCAGTGACAGGGAGACTAAGATCTTTACTACTTCCCAGCATGGAAAATTCTAATTTCTTTTCTATATTAATATAATGAGGCCTTTTGGTAGACTATATGGAAGCATAAACTCTACAATGCCAAAAAATTTTAGATGAGATTTATTATCAAAAAGGAACAACTCTTAAAGTTGTACTCTCAATACAAAATTTAATGCATGGCACAAAGCAACGTGTTCTGTGTTTCAGAAATATTAAGATATTTCCACCTAGTATTTGACAGATGAAACCCTAAGTTTGAAGGCTTCTTAAACATGCATTTCAATGTCATGATAAAAAGGGAAGAAGAAAACTTTGTGTGGGAAACAAATGTAAAGCAAAACTGCATGCTGCTTCTCATAAAAGAAAATTTTAAGCAATAAATTTTCAAAATTAATTATTTTATATAGACTCAACTCAAAACTAAAGATAGTATTTGTCTCTAGTAGGAACTCAGCCTAAAGACAGAAATTAGTGCAAACACTCAAGACTAAGAAGCAGAAGGAAAAACACTTGCCTGGTGTTTCACTGGTTTAGGCGATTCCTGCTGTTTATTACAAACAGATAAGCAAATGTTAGCAAGTCCAGATCTTTCTCTAGTACAGCCATATCCAAAGCACCAAGCCAGTATGTGGCTCAGGACCGCAGAAGCTTCTGGTTGCATCCTTTCAGGCTGTATCAACTATCTCCTGCATTTCTAAATCTGAAGGATAACTAACATTTATATTCTGTATGTTTTCATCTTTCTTATCGTAGATTCTTCTTATCTCCCCTTTTCCAAACTCCCAGACAGCAGCAACAAGCCACTTTGCAAGCTCAGATAGAACTGCAAGGAATATCTGAAGCCCTTCTTCTGGTGAAAAATAAGAACTCTGCACAAGCTCTGATCATGAATTTTTAATCATCCTCACCAAATCTTTCCAAGAAATTAAGCCTTGAATACAACCATAATTTCCATGTGCCTTGTAAGAAAACCTACTTAATAACAGGCAATGTCTTTGTACCCTGTCTGACTCCTCTTGAATGGAAAAGGGGGCGGGGGATGCTGGGTAGGGTGGTCATGTGGGAACAGCCAATCGGCACAGTGCATGGAGTAGATATGCTTCCTTGGTTAGGTTTCTGAAATTTATAAAAGAATGAAACTAAGACAAAATGCAATAACAAAGCAAAAACTTACAGGAATATTATGGTCCTTTCTTCCTTTATGTGAAGAAGCAACATGGGCAAGGTACTGAATGACTTTCTTGGTATTTTCTGTCTTCCCAGCACCCGATTCACCCCTGGAAGAAATAGTAACATAGGCTACTTTAAAGGAAGCTGAGCAAGCACATTCCAAAATTATAGCTGTCACAGTTAAGTTGAATCAGAACAAGAATTAGTGAAAAACATGAGAATAAGAGGAGGGGAAAAAAAAGAGAAAACCATCAACAGTTGTTAGAAAAGAAAAATTTAATTAAAAAGGTATTAAAGACACACAAATATTTCTTGCTAAGTTCCAATAAGAAGATATTGGATTACTTCACTTAATATGATTTTTCCAAGCCTTTCCATTTCCTAACAAATGGGGTGATGTCATTCCTTCTGACAGAGGCATAGAATTCCATTGTGTATATAGACCACATTTTCTTGATCCATTCATCTACTGAGGGGCATCTGGGTTGGTTCCACATCTTAGCTATGGTAAATAATGCTGTGATAAACACAGTTGTGCTGGTAGCTTTAGTATGGCCTTGTTTGTGATCGTTTGGGTAAATGCCCAAAAGTGGGATTGCTGGGTCATAGGGGAGCTCTACATGTAGTCTTTGGAGGAACCTCCATACTGCTTTCCAAAGTGGTTGAACAAGTTTATGGTTTCCCTTATTTACAATAACTATTATACGTCTAGGATAATCTTACCAGACAAGCAGAAAAGGTCTAAAGCTACATACATATGACCATATAAGATGATGCTAAGCGAAATGAACCCCAAGATAGGAATACTTTGTCGCTGTTGTTTTTAATGTACTATGTGATCTTATGTTTCTTTTCTATGTTCTTCCCCTATGGTATACCCCCTGTTGTCACTGTATTTGATTCCAGTGCCCTGCATCTTGTATATACATTTTTCTAATTTGGGGAGGGAAGGGAAATGACAAAATGCTGAAACTAGGATATAGGTTGACCCATTGTAACAATGAGATATACAAGATACTATGTTGAAAAAGAACTTTAAAACTGGGGGCCAGGGGAGTTGGGGAGATAGAGAGGGAAGGGATGGTAGGGGAAAAACAAAGGAGGGGGTAACAATGCTCGATAGGAAATGTACTCATTACTCATGTAACTGTAGCCCCTCTTACAATATCTTTACCATAAAATATATATATAAAAAAGGATATGCAAACCCACAACTCACAAAATAAAAGATATAGGAAAATTTCCACAATGCAAAGGCCCTAGAATGATATGTTAATCTGAAAAAGCTGCGAATTCTGGGTATCTGCTGGTTAATGATGATCACCTTCAAAGCCAAAGAAGGATCACCCCTCAACCAGAGGAAGGACAACTCTCTCTACTCTTAATGTCACACCCGTCACACATTGGGCTTTGTACATTAGGATCCCTGCCCTGGACTACTATGGTATACCCACAAAATCTCACCCAAGGTAGATATACAGTTCATAAAGTATATGATGTGTCGCAACAAAATGAACAAATACAACACATTCCATAGTGAATGCAACAAATGCTCCACTTTGTAATGATTCCTATTTACAAATAAGGCTGTCACATTTTTTTTTATTTTTTTATTTTTTTGGGGGGTCCGGTCGTGGGGCCTGAACTCTGGGCCTGGGCACTGTCCCTCAGCTCTTCAGCTCAAGGCTAGCATTCTACCACTTGAGCCACAGCGCCACTTCCGGCTTTTTTTTTTTTGCTTATGTGGTGCTGAGGAATTGAACCCAGGGCCTCATGCATGCAAGGCAAGCGCTCTACCACTAAGCTACCTTCCCGGCCCCTTAACAGCAATTTTTATAGCAAGTCCAGACATTTCCCTCTACCCCCTCCCTCCCTCCACACATACATATACACCTGTCCCCATTCTTGGTATAGTATGTGGGATTGTACAATTGGAACTGTCCACAGCTTACTTCCTATGGGCTTATTGGTTGCATTACCTTCCTAAGTCTGCAGCCAGCTAACTTCAGTTTCCACTACAATGAGGCCTGGATCAAGGGATCAAATTGACTAGCTAGCTGCATGGCCTCTTCTGAGAGCCTCATTATCCCAATCTGTAAAATGCAGGCACTGAATGTGGTCCCCTCCAAGTCCCAAGATTTGATGATTCTAGAAACTTCCCACTGATTTATTAGGGTACATTATATATTACACTTACTGACCAACTCTAGTGTTATACTACACCTCTGGGTAAGCCGTCTATCCAGAAGTTTCTACCTCTTAGGTTCTCCAATCTACCAAAATGTTAAGATTCCTACTCACCACTCACAGCTTAAAAAGTCTGTCTACAACATGATTGTGTCCATCTAAATTCTCATCTTATTAAATTCGTTCATTTATTTATTCATTCATTCATTCATTTTTGGTGCTAAGGGCCTCCAACTTTACTCAGCTTGCTTGCCTGCTCATAGATGGTGCCCTACCACTTGAGTTGTGCCTCAAGCTAGGATTTTGTTGGTTATTTTAGAGATGGAATCTCAGGGACCTGGGCTGGCTTTGAATGTAATCTCTAGGTCTCAGCCTGCTGAGTAGGTATGGTTACATATGAGACAACAGCACCTAACACACATTTATTTCTTATACATATGGCTTTATTCAATATGGCCACCACAAAACAGGATTATTCTGGAGGGTAGAAGTACTAGAGTTGGAACTCAGGGCCTCCCACTTGCTAGGCTGGCACTTCACTGCTGGGCCATGTCTTTGGCCCTTTTGTTATACTAGTTATTTTTGAGGTAGAGTCTTGCTTCTTGCCTGAGTACCTGGACTAAACATCCTTATTTTTCACTTCCTACCATACATAGCGTGTATGGCAAGCATGCACCACCACATTCAGCTTCTCTAGTTATGATAGAGTCTTGCAGATTTCTGCCAGGACTAGTGTAGAACTATCATTCTACCACAGATAAACTAGGATTTTTAAAAATATGATTGATTTTAAAGCATTTTTTTTGAAAAAGCAAAGGAGTCTCTAAGGCTTATCTTATTGTAACTTTGGATGATTTTATTTCTCTATCCCTAACCTATCTTCCTGCCCTAAAAATAAAAGGAAGAATTCTGAGGTGAATAGCATGAAGATACAGGCTATTTATAGTAAAACTGATGTGTTCATCCTTGCTTCTCTCCAGTTCATTGTAGATCTGCCTTTGTTCAGAACACAAGGACCACATTTGCCATATTTATCTTTAGTAACTATACTGCCTACTTGGTAGTATTGATACATAGTACTGAATAAGCATATGAATAAAGGTGTTTTTTTGCTGGTTTGTTTGCCAGTCCTGGGGCTTGAACTTAAGAGCCTGGGCACTGTCTCTGAGCTTTTGTGCTCAAGGCTAGTACTCTACCACTTGAGCCACAGCTCTACTTCTGACTCCTTTTGGTAGCCCAGAGTCTCATGGACTTTTCTGCCCTGGCTGGCTTCAAACTGTGATCCTCAGATCTCAGCCTCCTAAGTAGCTAGGAATACAGACGTAAGCCACTTGTGCCCAGTGGGTCTTACTCATTTATTATATTTATTCTTATCATCTTTTTTTTTCCTATCCTAGGCTTAAACTCAGAGACTGAGCACTGTCCCTGAGCCTCTTTGTGTTCAAGTCTAACATTCTACCACTTAAGTCACTACACCAATTGCAAGTTTTACTGAGTAGTTTACTGGAGATAAGAGTCTCACAGACTTTCCTGTGTAGGCTGGCTTTGAACCACAATCCTCAAATCAGCCTCCTGAATAGCTAGGATTACAGGTTTGAACCACCAGCACCTGGCTTCTTATCATCTTTTTTATATTTTTTGTCCTCACTATGTTCTTTCATCACCCTTATACTTGTAACCTGGCTATCATGGGCACATAAGTTAGGTAAGGATTTTCTCCTTCGTTCAATGAACATTTATGAAACAACTGCTGTGTGCCAAGCATTCTTCTAAGTGCTAGGGATATAGTAAAATCCATGTATCAAGCTTAGAAGACACACAGGGGGAAAAAAGGCTATAGAAAGTAAGTAAGGCGAAGAAGGAAATATGGAAGATTCTAAAAGGAGGTGAGAAAGGACCTCCTGCGGGCTTGATGGTTAGGGTAAGCCTATTGCAAGATGAACAAACGCTAGTATGTAGGGCAAAGCATTCAGACACATAAAAAGCCAAGTGCAAAAGCTCTAAGCAGGAAACAGCTTGTGTATTCTGGGAACTGCTGATCATTTGCCAGGAGTTCCATGTAAATGGTGATCAGGACAGAGTAGCAGGAGATACTGGAGTATGTTTCTATTAGCATATATTAATTTGTACAAGGAGTTTCCACAAATATACATAATGTTATTTAATCATATTTATTCTCTCAATTACACTTCCATATCTACCCTCTTTCTCAAGCCATTCACATCAGGATTCATTATTTTATTTTCATCTATACATATGAAGTACCTTAATCATATTTATCCTCTGTTCTCTCCTTTAATTCTCTACTCCTGCTGGGGTTAAAGCCTTAAAGTCCCCATTCTACACTCCTGTCATTCATTTTATAAGATCTAGACTATGTAAGAGAGACATGTGATATCTTACTCAGCCTGGTTTATTTCACTTAACACAATGATCTCCAATTCTATCCCCTTTCCTGCAAATGGCACAATTTCATTCTTCTTTATGGCTGAAAAATATTCCCTATATACCACATCTTAACAATCCATTCACTAAAAAACAGAAAAAGAAATGTATTCACTGACTGGTGGGCACTTGGGCTGACTTTGTACTTTGGCTATTGTGAATAGTATTGCTATGTCTATTGTATGTAAACCTACCTTCCTTCAGTCATATGCCCAGGAGTAGCAAAGCAGTGTCATATGGTGGTGGTTCTATTTTGGTTTCTTGATGACTCACCATGTTGATTTTCATAGTGGCTGCACTAATGTATATTCCCACCAACAGTGTGTAAGGGTCTTCTTTTCTCCGTATCTTCATCAGCATTTGCAGATGTTTGTTTTCCTGATGACTGGCATCTTAGTGTTATTTTGATTTGCATTTCCTTTATGGCTAAGAATGTCAAACATTTCTTCATGTGTGTATTAATCATTATCCTGAT